TGTTTGTCAAGCACTGCAGAGAGCTGTAGCAGTGAAGCCTAAGGGCTGGTTTAAGAAAAACAAAGCCTGGTCCTTCGATCACTGTTGTTCTCTTTATTGCCTAGGTAATAAGCTGACCTCGGAGGAGCAATTTAAAGTGGAGAAGTCTTGTGGCTTTCCTTAGGTAGGCAGTTTTTCTGCTGCGTGCTTTCCTTGCCAGGTGTTTTTCCCTGGCTCTCTGGAGACCAGCTGATGGAATGCTGCTGGAGCTCCCTGGGGCTCCTGAGGGCTGCTTATGAGCATCTGGGCTGTCTCAGGGCTCCTGCAAAGGGGAGCAGGGTGGGAACAAACTCCAGGCTGAGGCTTTGGGCTGGGATGATCCTTCCAGATCTAGTGGAAGGTGTCCCTGTCCACAGTAGGGGAGTGGAGCCAGGTTGTGTTTAAGGCCCCTTGCAACCCAAACCATTCTGTGATGGACAGTAAAGCTCCTGAGGGAGTGTTCCAACAGTTGATGATGCTGCAGGAAGAAGGAAAATCTGGCAGGTCCTTGTGTCTTTGTCCTTATTTAAACTCCTGCACATGCTTCTCCCTTTGAGACCCAAGTGACACAACCAAAAGCTACATGTAGTCAAGGCCTTCTTGCTTCTAAAAGTGCAGGGAGATCTTTTAAGAGGCCATCCATTATTAACCACAAGTGTTCTTGGAAAGTGGGATATCCACACCATTCAGGCAGGGATAAATAATTCATCTGTTTAATGAAATTTTTGCCAACAGGGAGCTGTGGCAGGTACGAAGTTAAGTAAAACTCTGGTATCCGTTATGATTTAACAAATGGGAGGTCAGGAGGTATTTGCCAGTGGCTGGAAAATGGGCTTTGAACAGATGATGAAAACCCAAGTGATGGTTCAGCAAGGCTTGGAGAAGATGGCTCTGTGGCTTGGTCTCAGCAAATCTGTTTCCACTTCCCTCATCATTTATATGATGTTTTCTGAATTTCCAATATTTTCTCTCTTACTAGCAATGAAATGTAGAAAAAAAGCAATGTTGAGGGGTTACTTTATGTGAGGGGTGTGTACCAAGCAGCAGAGTTGCAGGCCCCTCTGCCAGCGAGCAAGGAGAAGCTGGAGAAGTGGATGGGAAAGGGAGATCTGCAGATCCACTCGTGGGAGTAGAGACTTTACCATGAAGTAAGACCAGCTCTTCAGGGGGTTGGCACAAATGACTGAAAGAAGTGGATAAAAGGCAGTTTTGTGAAGCAGTCAATCAATCTTTCCCCCAGAGTGGCTGATACATGCTGGGGTGTTTGACAGAAAGCTTGTAGGGAGCACCATTACCAAAATCCTCCTCTCTCCCCTCTCCACGACTTGCTCAGACTAACAGTGGCCATGCAGGTGGCCCAGCCCTCTCCTGCAGCTCTTGAGGAGTCAGGAAGCAGTTTGGTTTCCTTCTCCTTCATCAACACCTGGAGCAGGTTTGGGATCGAGTTGTTTTAATTTTTCTCCTTTGCAGTCAGTGGCTGGTGGAAACCCTGCTCCCACCAGGAGCTTTTGCTGTGTGTAGGGAAGGGGGCTGGGAGATATCCTCTCAAAAATGTTAATTCCTGCTTGGTGTTGCAGAGATTTTCCAGGTCTGCAAAGCCCTGGGAGGTTCAGGAGTTCACTGGCAAACCTGGTAGGCAGCGAGGTGTCCCTGCAGCACCATGTGAAACAGATTCCCAGGCTGGGAAGCACTTGGAGATGGAGGGAGGAAACCCAGCCCTGGTGGCCCCTCCTGCTCTTCTAGTGACAGCATGGGGCCAGGCAGCAGAGAGCTGGTGAGCACCGCATGTGAGGATGACTGCAGGGCAGGGAGCATCCTCCTCCTGTGAGGAGGCAGGCATGGGCTGGGAGCTCGTTCCCTGAGATGGAGAGATTTTCTTAGTCTCAGCTGTTTGTGGCCAAATAGCCTGCAGGTCCTGGCAGAAGATGTTTCTTGGAAGAAATAGCAGGAAAGTTGTGCAAGCCTCACTACTTTCAGGTGACCAGCTTCGCCCTCCAGCAACAAAGGTGACACCAGTGGCCTGAGGGAGGGAGCCCAGGAAAATCCACTTCTCTCCTTTTAATTCCCATCTTTTTGCCTGCAAGTGCCTGTCCCCCCTTAAGCAGTGAGGACAAAGGCTGCACCTGGTTTTGTGCCCTAGGTGAAGGAGAGTGCTGTGTCTGGAGCGTATCCCACTTTTCCTGGTGCCCAGCTCCAGGCAGGATACACACAGCAGGGAGGATGTTGAGGTTCCCTGGCTCATTCTGCTCCATCAGCCTGATGTGCTGTGAGAGTTCTGCTGAATTGTTGACCCCAGGGGCTGCACGGGGTTATTTATGGACACACAAAGCTGGGGGACACTGGGCAGGATGCCAGCCTGGCATGGCCACAGCCAAGAGCCTGTCTTCTTTGGGGGTCCTTGGGTGACTCAGGCAGAAAAGGTGCTCTTTGGTGAAGTTTGTGGGGAAGCCTCCATGGAAATTCTGGTTTATCCCTCACACACTGGTGACTGGATCCTGTTTGGTGGCAGACATCCCCACAGAGGACAGTGGGCTGTCCTCTGCTGTCACTGTGTCTCCTCTGGGCCCACAGCCCAGATAATGATAGCAAAGCCTCTTTTTAGGCAGTGGTTGGGATCAAGAGTTCTGTCTGCAGGTGCGATATCAAACCATTAACCCAGGGCCCTGAGCAGAGGGCAGCACCTTTAGATGTTCTCCTGTCAGCCAGGTTTATTTTTATCACCTCCAGCACAGTGGGTTGGGAGCTCGTGGAGGAGATCTTTAATAATTCATAGCTCCTGCATTTTGTTCCCAGCAATCAGAAAAGGGAGTTGCTGGAAGGGCGCTGGAACAAACCTCCATCCACACCCCAGGGCCCCGCCTGGGTGTTGTGGCCTCTCTCATGCTGTTCTGCCTGGTGGCCTGGCCCTCTCCCAGGTTTTGTGCAGGCTCCAATCTGGACAGGGCATCCTGGGTGGGCCTTCAGGGTGGGGAAGAGTGAGGCCACAGCAGCCTGTGCATGTTCACCCCGGCTGGCTGGGGCCTGACACACAGTGCTACAAGCATGTGCTGTAACCTCAGTCCTGGTGTCAGCCCACCCCTGAAAGTAGTCTGGGCAGGCTGAGCTCGGGGAATTCCCCAGAGCTCCCAGAAGCAGTGGGATTGCTGCTGTATCACATGTTTTTCTCTTGTATTAGAACTGGGGTGGACTTTGCCTTTGGTTATGGAGCAAAGTCAATCTTTGGGATGGTCCTGTGCCTGGTGAAAGAACTTGGTCTCTAAAGCCTGACTCTGAAACAGCTGCTTTCTGTAGTATCTGAGATCCTTCAGGATGTGCTCCATGGAGATGGAGGAGCTGAGTTTCAGCAGCTGCTTTGGCAAAGCACAGGGATAGCAGAGTCTGTTGCAGAGCCTGGCTTTGTTAACATGCTGGTGGCTGTTGCCTTCTGACTCACTGTCCAGTTGCTTCCCGAGTCCACTTGATGCTCCCATCGCCTCTGAGCCTGGCAGCCCTGCAGTCCAGGAGCTGGGAAAGGCAGATGCAAGAGAGTTCTTGCTCTTTTCTGTGCGCTGGCAGGCCACAGTGGTGCTGCAGCTGGTGTTTTGCACCTTTCCTCCCAGATCCCAGTGGGAGCAACTGGTTTACCAGCAGCCAAATGCTGTCCTCTGTCCTTGTGGTGCTGACAAGAGGCTTCCCAGCTTTCTTGTGAGCTCCTCTGTCCTCTGGATAGGCCTGTCATGCGCAGACTGGTTGTCATCTTACCCTTTAATTATTATCCACACCAAATTATCCCCAGGAATCGTTCTCTTGGGGAGTGCAGAGCAAAATTTACAGGCACATTCTTCAGTTCAGCTGAGTGACAGATTCCCTCGTGTTTGGATCGTGCATTGACCGCTGTTAGATCTCGAGTGTCTGTGTCTGGGTCTGTGTGTTTTCTGTGTTGTTTTTCTCCCACTGTGAGCTGTGGCTTGCCTTAATTTGGTTAAGTAAACCCACTGTGTTGCTGAACTGTAACGAGACATCATTGACTGAGCTGTATCCTTCAAAATGGCTCTTTCCTGATCCTGGGATTTGCTGCAATACCCCCTGTGTACCCCCTGTGTAGGGCAGACTGCTGCTGCTGCTGGCCAGCATCTGTCAGGTGCTCAGGAAGGCCATGGAGTGGCCACAAGGCCAGGGCAGTGACTGTCCCCTGTGTTGGGCATTACTGGGGCCACACCTTGAATCCTCTGTTCAGTTTTGGCCCCTCACGAACAAGAAAGACATTGAGGGGCTGGAGTGTGTCCAATGAAGGGAACAGCTGGGGAAGGGGCTGGAGCACAAATCTGATGAGGAACAGCTGAGGGAGCTGGGAAAGGGGGTTAGCCTGAAGAGAAGGAGGCTCAGAGGGGACCTTCTTGTTCTCCACAACTCCCTGACAGGAGGGGGCTTGGCTCTGCTTCCAGGGACCAAGGGCCAGGACAAGGGGAAATGACTTCAAGTTGTGCCAGGGTGGGTTTAGTTTGGGTATTGGGAAAAAATTTGTCACAAAAGAAGTCAGGCATTAGACCAGGCTGCCCAGGGCAGTGATGGATTCACTGCCCTGGAAAGTGTTCAGAAGACCTGTGGATGTGGCAACTGGGGACATGGTTTGGTGGTGGTCTTGGCAGTGCTGGGGAATGGTTGAGCTCTATGATCTTCGTGGTCTTCTCCAACTTTAAGGATTCCATAATTCAATGACTCTGATGCCTACCTGCTTTAAGGATCCCTGGCTTTAACTGCTTTTTTCATGTTATTGAAAGTGGGGCAAAAGAAGTGGGGAAAAAAACCACTAGACTGAAACAGCTGAGGGTGTTTGAGGGGTGGGGAAACATCCCCTTAAAATCAGCTCTTGTGAGGGGCGAAGCAAAAGGCTGTGACTGAGTGGTGGCTTCCCCTGCGCTACTGTCCAGCTTTACAGCACTCCAGCTTTTGTGGCAGTGTGTATCTGCAGCACTGGTGTCCTTTCCTTTTCCTTGGTGCAGTTGCTGTGAAGAATCCTGGTGCCAAAGAAGCCCAGACGGACGCAGCCTCTGGCATTGGACCGGCTCCAGGCTCAGCAGCGGTTCCAGAGGGTGAGCTGCTCCTACAGGTTAGTGCTTTGCACAAATGCCTTCATGGGATCTTCCTCTTGTCCCTCTTCCATCTCCTTTGAGTTTTACCCCAAAACCAGGCTGTTCTTTCCCTGATGGCAGGTGATTTGTGATTTCTTGTGGTGTAGCTCACTGTGTTTCTCACTGGGCAAAGATTTGAGACCTCCAAAATTCCCTGGGGCAGAAATTGTGTTGCTTCTTCCCTGCTTTTCCCATTATTCCTGGAAAAAAATGCCATCTGTAAATAGTCTATATGTAGGGAACATATAGAAGAATCTTGCTGGATTTCCAGTCATGGAGATTGATCTTTTCTTCTTCTCCACCCACATGTGTAAATGTGCCAGAGGTGAAATGAACCAAACTGAGCAAAGTGTTTGAGTTTTCAACATGGGCACACTGATCCTGACTTGAGGATGTTGGTCAAATGCTGGTGAAAACAGGGAAGAAACATTGTGGGTGTCTCCCCTGATTTTGAGGAGGTGATGTGTGACACTGAGGGCACAGCTAGGTGCTGATGGGCCATGTGCTCATCCCTTAAACCCAGGGTGGGTGGTTGTATCCCAGGAGCTGTTTTTCCCGAGTGATCTCCTTTGGTGATGCTGGAGACGAGGCTGGTGATGCTGCAGCTGTCATGGTTTGTTTAGAGCTGCCAGGAGGGCACCTTCTGTCCCCAAACTGTGCGCAGTGAATGGGAAGAGGTCAGGCTCTGGCAGCACGAGGTCCTGCAAGGACACATCTGCCATCCCCTGCCTGGCACCTGGGCACAGGCGGTGGCACTGTTCCCTGCCTGGCACCTGGGCACAGGCGGTGGCACTGTTCCCTGCCTGGCACCTGGGCACAGGCGGTGGCACTGTTCCCTGCCTGGCACCTGGGCACAGGCGGTGGCACTGTTCCCTGCCTGGCACCTGGGCACAGGCGGTGGCACTGTTCCCTGCCTGCCTGGCTGTCCTCCAGAATGGGCTGAGTGTGCTGGGCAGCCCCAGCTCCCGTCTGAGCGCTCACTCAGCACAACGTGTAATTACTGTCCTGCCTGAGAGCTGAGGATCTCTGTGTCTGGTGGGAGAGGCACTAAAGCCAGCCTGGTTAATAAGCAGAAACCTGCGGGTTTCCCCTCAGGATACAACAGAACTGCTCAGCAGGACTTGCTGGGGGTTGAAGTCCTGCTCATCCCACAGGTACCATCCTTTTAGGGGTACCAAACTGGGCCTGAAAAGCTGGTTCAGCTCTCTCAGGGTCTGTGTGAACCTGGATGTGGCAGGAGCTCAGAAGTCTGTCTCAGTGCCCCCAAGGAAACATTTCTTCATACTTACAAACATACTTCCACCTGGTCTGTCACCTCTGATGGGCAAACTTCCTTTGTCTCTTGGTCTGCTCTGGTTCTTCCCCTTTCCTTCTCTGAAGCTGCTCAAAGGGTTAAAGTGCATTTGGCTGCACTAATTAACCTCGGCAGCAGATTCCCACACACTGAGATCAACCCCAGTAAACAGAGAGAGTGTTTGTGCCCGAAATAAAGGGGAGGAGAGGGGGAGAGAAGCTCTGACCTGGACAATGAAACAGGAGTTGGCAGCAACAATAGCTGGGCTTGGCTGAGACTACACGCCAGGCCCTAATTAATGCTGATGTCTGTACATTATGAAGGGGGGGAAGCAGGCCAGGGCTGGCCACTGTGGCTTCCCTGCCAGGTTAGTGGTACAGGATGATTTTGGCTCTGAAAAGCCACAACTGCAGGAGCCCTGCCTTCCAAAGTGGTTCTGCTTTGTGCTGCCAGAGTGTCTCCATGGGGATCTGTTGTCCTTAGGGAGGGGTGGCCATGTGGTGGTGCCAGGGCAGTGAGGGCTCTTCAGCTTCTGGGAAAATAAACCAATGATTTTCATGGGGTTTCACTGCCTTTGCTCTTGGGCAGCACCACGGGCTTGAAGGTGTCTGCTGGGTGATTCTGGGGATTCTCAGAGTTGGGGACACTGAACCAGAGAGTGGTATCTGCCAGCTGGGCTCAGGGAGTACTGCTGTGGGGCTGCTCTCAGCCCTGGCAGGGGGGTGACAAGGTCTCCAAAGCCCTGGGCTCTGTGCCACAGAGGCTTGCAAGGGTTGGTGCTGTGCCTGCAGCACTTGAGGGTGCTTCCCTGATCCTGCCAGTGCCTGTGTCAGCAATGTTCTGCCTGGGGGCTCCTTCCTGCTGACAGAGAGCAGGGATGGAGAGCCAGGGCTCCTGGAAAGGAGCTGCACTCCCAAACTGCTAGGGAAGCTCCTCTGCTTCTTCTAGTCTTCTCCAGGTGTAAAGGACACTGTCAGCCAGCACCCTGGTCCCTTCTCATGTGTCCTGTCCTGGCAGCTGTGGGGTTTTTAGCTCAGGGAAAACAACCAAATTACTTCCCAGATTTTTTAAACTGAGTCCCTCTTCAGTAAGACAGAGGCTCAGATCAGCTCAGCCTGTTCTTGCCAGGAAGCCCAGTGCTCCCTTGAATATTGACTTTGCAATCCTGGAGCTTGAGGAGAGGATGGAAGGGCCAGCAAACTGTGAAATGTCTTAAGTGTGTAACATTAAAAATGCAATGGAAACTTCAGATTGATGCCTGCATTTGCTCTTCTCTGTGGGGAGGGCTTGGGGCTTCAAACCCACACAGGCACAGCAGCTTTGGGTATTTATTTTGTGGAAACAGAGTACAGCATTCAGCCCTAAGGGGTGTGGGGTGTGCATGAGCCAGGTAGCGTTCCAGAGGAAGTGATCTTGGAGGTGGAGATCTTAGAGGGATTCTCCAGCCTAAATAATTCTGGGATGTATTGGCTGAAAGGAAAAGGTGCTCTGGGTCACCCAGGGATTCTGTGGTTTTCCCTCAAGTTCAGGCACCGGACTCAGCCTGAATCCCCTGCTGAGAAGAAATTGGCTTTTCAGAAATCAGATTGTTTTTGCAGCAATTTTGAATCTGAACCCTTATGCTTTAGCTTGTGGCTTTTCCATTTCCACTGGTTAAGGCCCTTTCAGCATTAGCCACCTTGAGGAGGGAGTGGGCAGTGGAGACATCACCTTCCTTGGCCTTGCTCCTTATCCATGGACAGTCCAAGCACACCATGATCCTTCTCCAGGCCACTTCTCTGGAACTTAGGATGGCCAAACCAGGCTGCCAAGGCCCTCGAGACTGTTGGAAAGGCTCATTTCCACCAGAATGGACCAGTTCCTGATGGTGTCCACTTTCATCCTGCAAGCAGTTCAGAGATGTTTATCTGCTCCCTGCACAGGGTGAGGATAAATGTCTGAAGCTAAGTCTGAGTGAATGCTCCCAGGATGGAAGCACAGTTTTCCATCAGTCTGGATTAGGATATTTTTGGGGCAGGAATATGAAAGAGCTGTGGGACCTTGGAGAGGCCATCTCTGGTGGTTCAGCTGCCTGCTAGCCAGGCTTTGGGTGACCAGTGTCCTGGTCACTGTGAAAAGTGATGTGATTGTGGCCTGATCTCCTCTCTCCTACAGGCTCTCAATGGCTTCGTGCTGGTGGTGACAGCAGAAGGGCTGATATTTTACTCCTCACATACAATCCAGGACTACCTGGGATTTCATCAGGTTGGTGGGACTCTGACTTGCTGTGGAGTGTTGATTTTTCCTTGGTGGTGGAGAATAGCCCCAAGTTCCCTGCAGGGAGGAGGCTCCACAGGGATGACAGGGTCTCAGGGAGCTGTTGGGGGTTTTCCTTGGTCTTGGGAATTTGGAGCCTGTATTGCCAGACGTGGTCACTGGTAGGTGACAAGGGACTTCATCAGCCTGTAGATACTTTCTACCAGCCATGTCCATGGGCTTTCATAGGGTTCATGGCCATGATGAGATGTCCTGGGTTCCCTGCCTGTTTGCCTGGGGCATCCACTCAAATCCTGGTAAATCCCACAAGGTTCCAACACTTTGGGCACCCAGGTAACCTGGAGAGCACTAGATTTACAGGGAAGTGGGGCTTACTTCAGCTACTGTGGTTTGGTGTCACCCACACACAGCTGGCTGTCCCCAGCAGCTGGGGTAGATGAGACCTGTCCACCTGGACACTGGGAGAAAGTCCCAGGGCATTGTTCTCTTGGGAATAGTTTAGGGATGGGGTGGCCTTGCTGCTGTTTTGTTCCCAAATTCATGTTTTCATCTCATTTCATAAGTCAGCACTAGGATTTTGAGTTATGGGGATGTCAGAGGGAAGCTGTGTTTGCTCTTTAGGCTTCTGCAGGGGGAGAAAGTCAGGCCAAACATGGACAAGGGGTTCTTAAAGCCAGATGTGCTGTCTGTTTCCGCCAACATTAGGGAAAGTTTCCAACCTCATTTAACCAGGGACCCATTTGAGCACGAGGGAAGCTGGGTAAGATAAAACCAGCTGGGGCTGTGATGGGCTGTTCCCAGGTGGGACATGAAAACTGGGGATGCAGAGCTCACAGGTGGCGTGTCCCCTCTAGACAGATGTCATGCACCAGAGCGTCTTCGAGCTGATCCACACTGAGGACCAGCCGGAGTTCAGGCGCAACCTCCACTGGTCTGTGGACCCACCACTCACTCCCAAGGGTGAGGCTCCTCCAGCAGGTGAAGGCAGGCTGCCATCTTGCATGGCATGAGCTGTGTGGCTCCCCAGGGGTGATGGGAGCCCAGCTCACTGTCACCACCTGCACCCATGTGGCTCAGGCCACAGCTTCACCCAGATGTTGTGGCTTTCCCTGAGTTCCTGTGCTCTGCAAACTGCTGCAGTGCCCAGTGCTGGGGACCTCCAGCCCTCGCTGGGGTGAATCCTTGCTTGATCCTTTCTCAGTCCCTCTCTTCCACAGCGGGGAAGAGTCTTGATTCTTCTGCTGCCTTCTACAAGCCAGATCAGCTGCCCCCAGAAAACTCTTCCTTCCTGGAGAGGAGCTTTGTGTGCCGCTTTCGCTGCCTCCTGGATAATTCCTCCGGCTTCCTGGTGAGTACAGACCCTCCCCAGACAGAGAGAGACAGGCTTACCACAGAGGTTCATACCACCTCTGAAACCACCCCATGGAAAGATCCCGTGCTCCCTTCTGCCATGTGCAGCACCTGTCTCAGCAAGAGACTTGCCCTGTTTTTCGTAGGTTTGGCCTGTACCTACAGCCTTTCCCTGTGAGTTTTCCCTGAGTTCCTCTCCTCAGAAATGCTGAATCTTGAACAAACGTGCTTTTCCCCCTGTGTTTTGCTTGGTTTTTCTGTTAAAAGCATGTCTTAAGATCAAGTAGGTGATGGTCATCATCCCTCTTCCTCTCTGCACTGGAGAGCACAGGGTGCCCAGGGAAGCTGGGGCTGCCTCTGGATCCCTGGAAGTGTCCAAGGCCAGGCTGGACATTGGAGCTTGGAGCAGTCTGGGACAGTGGAAGGTGTCCCTGCCCGTGGCAGAGGGATTGGAATGAGATGGTCCTTAACGTCATTTCAAACCTAAACCATGCTGTGTTTCGATGATTCTATTTACACCAACAATGCAGACAGATGTCTTGCTTTCCCTGCAGCTCTCTTCCTTTTCACTTCTCTGCATGACACTGAGATTTTTTTTTTCTTCCCAGGCATTAAACCTTCAAGGCAGGCTGAAATTCCTTCAAGGGCAGAACAAAAGGTCTGAAGATGGCTCTGCCCTGGCCCCCCAGCTCGCTCTGTTTGCCATCTCCACACCACTGCAGCCCCCATCCATCCTGCAGATCAGAACCAAGAACATGATCTTCAGGACCAAGCACAAGCTGGACTTCACCCCCTTGGCGTGTGATGCCAAGTAAGTAGCAGAGCTTCCAGTACTCCATTCCCAGCATCCCACCCCAGCCCTGCCTGTGAGCTGGGTGTGCTCTGTGTCTCTCACAGGGGGAAGATCGTCCTGGGCTACACCGAGGCAGAGCTGCGGATGTGTGGTACCGGGTACCAGTTTGTCCACACTGCTGACACGCTGTACTGTGCTGAGAACCATGTCAGGAGTAAGAGTCCCCTCCCTGGTCACCAGTGCTGATGAGTGGGCTGGGAGTGGGGCAGATATGTTAGCTGCTCTGTCAAGCCCAGTGGCTCTTTCCCCACACGATGCTTTGCTGTGCTGCTCCTGTCAGGTGCTTGGGGTGGAGCGTAGTGAGGGTTGTTCAGCTGCTCAGTGCCCCCTGTGCCTGCCAGCCATGCTTCCAGCTGGAAAGGGCACTGTGCCATGGTGACAGCCCTCATGTTTCCTCCCGGCAGTGATGAAGACGGGGGAGAGCGGCCTGACGGTGTTCCGGCTGCTGACCAAGGACAACCGCTGGAAGTGGGTGCAGGCCAACGCACAGCTCGTCTACAAGAACGGCAAACCCGAATACATTGTGGTCACACAGAGACCCCTTGTGTACGTGCTGAGGCTGGCATGGGCACAGCCTGGCTTTTTCCATGGTTCTGGGATGTCCTGAGCAGGGCAGGATGTTGGGTTTGTCATTGCTGCTTGTGCCTTTTAAAGGAGCAGCCATGGGATTCTGTGCTTGCTGCTCTTGCTGCTGTTCAGCCACATCCCTGCTTGCAAGACCACCCCTCAGCAGGGGGGTGATGCTTGATTATGCTGCAGATGTTTGGGTTTTCTGTGTGTGTATGTGTGTGACTGGATGCTGGCTGTAGCAAAGGGGCTTTGGCTTGTGGAGATCACAGTTGCCCATTGCAGAAGTACTTGTGGGGTGGGTTTATGCACTGTCACCCACAGTGTTCTCTTCCTGGCCTGCAGAGATGAAGAAGGAGGAGAGCACCTTCGGAAGCGGTCCATGCATCTTCCCTTTACCTTTGCTACAGGAGAGGCACTTCTATACCAAAGCTCTCACCCTCTCCCAGGCTTCCCTGACCTTTTCCAGAGCAAAGGGAAGCCCAGCAAGTCCAAGAAGCCCTCCTGCAGCCATGTAGGGTGCTCCCAGAAGAACAGCATTGACCCCAGGTCTCTACTTGGCGCTGTGGTGCGACAGGACAAGGTGGTGTACGCCTCCCACCTAGCTTCCCCTCCCAACCCTTCCTTCAGCAGCACTTTCCAGCTTGGGGGCAAGTCCTTGCCAGGCGCAGGAGGGGATGCCTGGAGTATGGGCACAGCTCCAGTTTCTTCAAGGGGCAGCAGTCTCCAAGAGAAGCTGCTGGATTTGCAGCAGGAGGACTCTCTCTTGGCCACCATGGACTTGCTCTCAATTAAGAGTGACAAGCGCTGTTCAAACAAGCTCTTCAGTGCTTTGGAGGGCCTGGGCTTGCATGCTGAGGACCTGGAGTTCCTGCTGCTAGATGAGGAAATGGTGATGGTCAATATGGACCCAGACCAGTCCCTGTCCCTGAATAACAGCCTGGCCGGCAACCAGAATCTCTCCTACGTCCCCAGGCCTCCAGTGGATGAGCATGAGGGAGGGCAGCAGGTCTGTCCCTTGCCAGGCATGTCACCCGGCCCACAGGGAGGCACTGTTGCATGCCACATGGAGAACAAGGACTCGAGGTGGCACCTGGCACAGGGTGCAGGGCAGCACAGCACTGCCCTGGGCCAGCCCCCCGGCCTGCTGTGGGAGCAGCCCCTCGGTGCTGTGAAAGGGCTGCTTCCAGAGCTGGCTGAGCAGGAAGAGCTGCCCAGTGGCTCCCAGTGGAGACCAGCCAGGGAGGAGACTGTGCTCCACTTCCAGCCAGCACAGAGCACCTCATGGGACAGGGACCCCAGCTCAGCCCCTGGAGCCCATTGCCCACAGGAAACACCTGGGGCCCAGCAGTTGCAGGGAGACTTCCCAGCCGTGCAGCCCCTCCAAGAGGATGCCCATCAGTCTTTCCCCCTGTCCAGCCAGTACCAGGACCATGTGGCACTGCCCAGCTGGCCAAAACACTGTCACTCGCTGCTGAATGGGGTGTGTGGCCACAGCCCTAACTCCTCTCCACTCCCCAGCCCATGGCAGGACTATGTTTGCCCGCTGCTGGGCTCTTCAGCTCAGCCTGGCGTTAGTGGTCTCAGCCAAAACGTGCTCTCCCAGCCCCAGGGCTGTTTGGGCCCTGGGCCTGGTGTACCCCCACAGCACTTGAACCTGAATGGATTATGCAGCATGGAAGCTGCCGGCACTGGAGACTCCTGGGAAGAGTTAGCTCCGTACCCCAGGTTTTTTCCCCCTTCCTACCAGCTTATTTCCGAAATGCAGCTGAGCCCTGGTCTCTCCGTGCCTCAGCACCCTTTCCCCAGCTCAGCTGCAGGGCACTTAGGGAATGTCAGCAGCCCTCTGGAGACTCTGAATTCCTATAGGACACAAGCCCCTGTGCTGAGCCAGGAGGACAGGCACTGGGTAAGGGCCTTGCTCCACTCTGGGGCTCTGTGTTTTCTGTGCTGGGAATCTGCCCAGCCAGTGCCAATAACCCCCTGCAAAGTGCCTCACCACTGTTCTCTGTCTCTCCTAGCCCCGCAGCAGCTGTGGTTTGCCCAGCTCTCCCATGGGACTGCCCCAAGACCACCCAGTGCTAGGGGGAAGCCTGGCACTGCCCTGCCAGCCTCAGCCCCGAGCAGAAGTGCTGCCGGATCCCACTCACGCCTCCAGGGGGGACTTCTGTCTCTAGGAGAGACAGGGATGGACAAAGTAGGACTGTTCCCTGGTGAAGGAGCTGCCTTCAAGCTGCAGATAACAAACCTTCCCCACTGCTGTGCACATCCTGCGGGTGCTACTGATGTTGGTTGCTTTGGGTCACCTGGGGGTTTTTGCTCTTCTCTCAACTTCCCACCATCCTGCTCCCTGTGCTGTTCTTGTCTTGGTGTCCCTGGTGTGGGGTGGGACAGCAGCAGGGCTGGAGGACAGATTTCCCAGGGCACTGGAGCAACCTGAGCTGTGATTGCAGGTCAGCCTACAAGTACAACCAAAACTTTGTATTTACATACATGATCCAGGATGGATACCAGCCTCGCATGTCCTAAACAAAGAGACAGAAAATGTTTTCACCTCTGGTATTAAATCTCCTGCCATCCCAGCCAGGTATCAGTGGCTGTGGCCATGTTGTACAGATATTGCCTGTTTTTATAAGGAAAATCAGCCCTGTATCATGTTCTTGTGTTGCTCTGCTCCTTCCCCACCCCAGCTTTCCCTGTGTCCCAGGTGTTCCCAGTGTTTGGGATCCAGGTTAGAGCTCCTGTAACAAACACCCTGGCTTTTGTGTACTGTATGAGACATGCCCAGGTTGGCTCCTAAGCTGATTTTCTCTGGGTGCTGGCCTCTCAGGTACCCTCAGACTTCAAGTCTCAAAGTTTTCAGTTAAAAACCAGAAACTTCAGTAAGGTAAAGAAAGTAAGTATAATGCTACTTAATTGTAAGTACTGAGAGAGTGGTAACTTCCCACAGAAAAAAAACCCACAGCCCATATGTGTGTATATAATATGAATTGACAGATTTTATTTTTATGCCACTCCAGTGGAAGGAAAAAACAACCTCTTAGCATCCCAAAGCAGCGTCCAGTGGAATGGGATGAAGAGGTTGTTTAAAAGATCAGAAACACAGTGATTCTTTAAGAAACCTGGCAAAGCTCATCCCTCCTCCTGCTTGCCCAGCTTTGGATTCATGCGGATTCCTATTGGTTTTGTTTCAATAAATGGTTTTGGAGATCTTCCCTGATGTTTCCCTTGCTGGTTGTGTCTCTTCCCAATCTGGAGCACATCAGGGTTTGCTGGCTGCAGCACTGGAGCTCAGGCCTTGCCACTGGTTACCTGGGACACAATGGGTCAGGTTGGAAGGGATCCCAAGGAGCACTTGGAGCCTTTAGGATGCACACAGTCCATCTGCCAGCTCCTGCCATGAGTGTTTGAAAAGAATTGGGAAATCTGACAGAGAAGGGTGAGTGTATTAAAAAAACATGTACAATATTTATATAATATATATTATATGTATATAAGGTTGCATGTTGATGTATTGAAATATAAAGTGTGTGTATTTCTAAAGTGGCTACATATAGTTTCTAGTATGTAATAGAAAACATTTTTTAAGATAAATGAGCTGGTTATTTTCCCCTGCACTGCTGTTTTTTAACCTGGAAACTAGAGAAAACACAGGTTTGTTTTCTCTGAATGCTGAATTTTCCAACATTCCCACCCCTACCTGGTACCTGCTTTTCCTTAGCAAAACAAGGCAGTTTTGTAATGTTTCTGAATTTTTGATGGAGATACGCTGGGAGCATTCGATCTTTTATGGTTTCTGTGCCCTACTCTGCCTCTTCCTCCCTTTTCCTTCAGAGGAATTGGCTCTGGGCAGCACCACCTGTGCTGAGGGGGATGGAGGGATGGCACCAGAGCATCCCTGGGGCTGCAGCTCGGTGACTTCCAACTGAGTCCAAGGTGCTGAGCACAACCTGACCACTGCCACACTTTCTCCTTGAGCCAGGTCCTGGATGTGTGGTGGTGTTCCATGACCAACTGCCCCAATGGGTTTTTCCTCTTCCTTGCCACGTGTCTCCACAGCACTACGAGCTTCCCTGCAGCCCAGGTGACCTCAGGAACACTGCAACCCTGCTGGGTGTGTCACCAGGGTTCTGTTTTATTGAGCACAGCGTGGATTTGTCCAGCACTCTGTCTGTGAGGCCTGTGGAGCACAAGCCATCGTTTCTGTGGAGGGAGGTGCCCTCTGCTCCCAAAGCAGGCTGGCACATCCATAATTCATGCCCATCCTCACACCAGCTGCTCCCTGGGCCTTATGGCATTGATTTTTGACATGCTGGGCTGGCCCAGGGAGCCTGGCTGGAGAAAAAAACTTCCTGCTGCAGTAAGGGAGATGCTTCTGTTCATCACCCCAGCATCTGCAGCCTGCTCTGAGCTGTGGTGGTAAGAAAGGGAAGTTGGGCAGCTGTGCTGTTGTGCTCTGGTTTGCACATCTGGAGGTAGCACAGTCCCATGGGGCACATTGATCCCCAAGAGCTGGATGAGGCCAAGGGAAGAGTATGGGGAGATACAGAATCATAAAATATCCTGAGTTGGAAGGATCACTTGAAGTCCTGGCCCTGCAAAGGACAGCTCCAAGAATCCCACAGTGTGCTTGGGTTTGGGGATGTTTGTGTGGCTGTAGGCTCAGCTCCATGCAGGAAAGAGCAGGAGGAGCTGTAGTGCTCCTTGCAGCAGGGTAAGCTGCACCAATGGAGGGGCAGGAGGAGGAGAGCAGAGGGCATTTATTGTTTGTCTCTTTTCCCTTTCCCTTCCTGCAGCCAAGGATGAGGACATGTGAGACACAGCCTGCAGCAAAAGGGGGCTCCTGTCTCAAACCAGCTGGGAAAGGTTACATCTGATACCGGCTGCATCCGTGAGGCTGAAAGCACCGGTCCCCAGCTGCCATCACGGAGGCCAGGATGTATCCCTGGGCCCCAGGGCAGCAGAGAGCAAGGTAAATATTTCTCTACAAGCTCAGCCTGGTGTTTGCCCACACCACCTCTGTGCACCATCCATTATAGATGGGGCCAGGATCCGTGGGCAGCAGAGCAGAATGTGCTGTGATGGCTCCTGCATTAAATAGAGATGAAGGAGCACATGGGGAGCCACCGTTTGTTCACACCCAGCCCGTGTCCTGTTTGCTGGCTGTTGCTCAGTGCCACAGCCATGCTGAGCTCCTGCTCTGGGCCCCAGGAGAGCCATGGACTGGTGCTGCAGCCTGGCTGGGGATACCTGGGACAGCAAGCATAGAGTTAACCAGTGTGTTCCTGGAGTAACAGCTGAGACACGCTCCACCTTGGTTTACATAATTAAAAAAAAAAAAAAATATTATTTGGACAAACAATAAAGTCTCTTAATAGGGGGCCACATCAAAACATTGCTATAAGAACTCCTACTGCAGAGTTGAGTGGCCAGTCATCTACACAACCTTCTGTGCCCATGATTTCAAGTACAATAGACTTCAGACAGCAGCCACCTGCCCACAAAAATATATTAGTGTATCTTTTCAATAGGTCCAAAGACTTTCCAAGCCTGGCTGGAAGGATATAAAGAATGATGGAGCACATCAACTGTCATCCTGGGGTGAAGGACAAGCACATGGCTAGCAGGTGCTTTGGAATAATGGCAGTGGTGGTGTTGGTGTTACCATCATCATCATCATCATCTGATATTGGCATCATTGTTATTTTCTGGACCTAGGAGAGTTTGATATGAATGGGCCACAACTTTCTGTATTGTTTGATAAATGTGTGTGCCTCAAAAAATAATCTCAAATCTAATGGGAAATTCCAAACTGGAGGATGATTTAGGTTGGAACCTTAAGGCTCATCCTGTTCCGTTCTCTGCCATGGCAGGGACACTACCCACTATCCAAGGCTGCTCCAAGCCCCATCCAACCTTGGCCTTGGACACTTCCAGGGGCAGCCACAGCTTCTCTGGGCAACCTGTGCTAGGGCCTCACCACCCTCAGAGGGAACAATTACGTCCCAATATCCCACCTATCCCTGCCCTCTGGCAGTGGGAAGCCATTCCCCCTTGTCCTATGACTCCAAGCCCTTGTGCAAAATCCCTCTCCAGCTCTCTTGGAACCCTTTTAGGCACTGGAAGGCTCTAAAATAAATGTTTTTATCTCTCATTTAGTTATTTTACCCTGAAACTTACTTCAGTTTCCTTGATGGGTTTAGAAAGGTTTATATTTTATATTCCTTACCTTCTGCTGACATGGGGGCTGTTGCCCTGCAGCTGTGAGGACTCCTGCCCTTGCTAACAGATGTACCATTGTTATTACATTGCTGATGTCTCCCAGATGCCTTTCCACTGAGCAGAGGAGTGTTCCCGGGCTGTTTGTGTCATGGTGTCCCAACTCTGCTTTAAATTTCACCATCCTTCCCAGTCCTTAATTCCCCTTTTCCTGGCCAGCTGTGGCTGCTAAACCCTCAAGTGCATCCAGGAAGATTTCCAAGCTGAACAGGTGGACCAAGTGTCTCATCTACCTTGCACAGTGCTCTGTACTGGTGCTGGGTTCCAGCCCCAGCTGCTGCAGACATCTCTGGTGGGTTTGGCTCTCCAGAGGAGGAAATGTGTTTCTCAAGCTTGTCCAAGAACAGTTTGCACCTCTGAGCTTGCTGCCTCCTCACAGAACATTTCATGCCAGAAATCCCCTTGCCTAGAGTCTGAAGTATCTTCAGTATTAAAAATCCCAGCCCAGGCTGATGGTGGCCTGGCCACACAAGAGGAAGGGAGCTCTTGAGGGAGAAGAAAACCCATTTGCACCTTGGCCCTCTGCACTGCCAATAACTGGGATTACTCTGCAGAGAGAAGAGCCTGGCAGGGAAGGATCAGGGAAGCAATAGGAGTTCTGCACTCAAAGTGGAGGAGCTCAAAGGTGGATTGAGCTGTGCATCCACCTCAGGTGCAGAAGGGACAGCAAACCTGTGTGGCTAGTGCTGTGCCAAGCAGCCTGGGAAGGTCCTGGCTTTTGCTCAAATCCTGTTCCCTTCCTGTGGGGTGAATGGGGAGAGTTACTTGAGCTAATTTATGGAGCATAACAAGACACATTGGGCTGG